TTTTAACTCATCCTTTGCTCCACTTCACAAAATTAAGCCTAATCATTACAAGACTACATTTTTTTTCTAAACTTCTTGTTTCTAAATGTGAACAATTCTTCAGTCATCTGCAGTTGAAGTTTACTGTCAAATTGCTGATACATAGGATCCACTTTCCATCATCTCTGCGTGATGGTCTGTACTAGTTAAAAAGTGCTTTTCAGCTCAGCAAATATATGCACAGGTGTGTGCATGCATGCACGCTCCAACAGTTTAACTTGTTTGGCATTAATTATCTTGGAAAAACTTTGTCATAGTTCTCTGAGTAGAATGAGAAAATCCCAAGCAGATCAGCCCCTTTCCTTTAGATGAGGGTGTTGGGGAAGGGCTATGGGAAGATGTACTGGTGTGCTTGGTCTTACTTTGAACATGTGGGTACAATACACTAAAAATGTTCCAAATCCAGCTCTCTTTCTTCATGCTCTTTTCTCTGAGCCGTGCAGAGCCATCTAATTAATCTGCTCGTGCTTAACAGTAATTGCTGTTCTGGGGAGCTGTATTCAGTGAGATGCGGTCTTGACCAGATCTGTACGTGGATAACGGTCTGTGTAGTGAGCCTTAGCAATGCCAGTCACACACTTGATCACTTGCCTTTTTAAGTGTGTGGCCCAGGAAGTGATGTAATATTGTGATAAACTGGTATCATGAAAACACTTTATAGCATAGTCTTCCATTCAGTACTGGATACACATGCATACATGTACACAGACAAAGAAGTAGTCTTCTGTATTTCCATCTCTCTCCCTCTCCCCTCCATCATCCCATGTAATTATTCCTCTAAAATATCTCTCTCTTTTCCCCACTTGCCCCCGTCATCACATGTAATTACTCCTCTAAAATTTTTCAAGCATGATTCAGAGCAATATAAAGCATGTAAGGAACAATAAACAGTAAACAATGTGGTATCTTTCTTAGATCATAGACAAATTTCTTTATCATGCTCTTGTGTCCTCCCTTAGGACTAGTGGCTCCTCTAGGTTTCTGAGAAAACAATGAAGAGACTGAAAAATCACCTTTCTGTAAGCTTAGTAAACATCTAGAGAAGTCTGTTAGCAGTCTAATGAAATTGCAGAAAGCAGCAGAGCAACAGAGACCTCCAGTTTCATCAGCATAATGTGCTGAGGCTGACAGCACAAGAGGATTTCTGCAGGACATAAATACATAGCTGAAATGCATGATGAGTTGCTTTTAAAATAACCAAACCACAAAAATAGGAGGCATGAGCTTATAAAATGCTGGAGAAAACAACAGATTGGACAACAAATTCCCTGCTTCTGTGACTCTTTCACTTTCTGGTCCATCCTGCAACCTGACCAGTTATACAGTTATGGTAGGTAGTTTAGTCTACGGATATGCTTAAAAAGTTAACTTAGCCCACCTGCTTCTTACAGTGCTTGAAACCTCAAATTCTGACTGCTTCATCTTGCTAAACCATCTGTAATAGATACTATCAGAGTGTTTCTCTTTCTGTTAATTTCATTAGTAAGTTTCCAGTTACACTGTTCGAACTGTGTTTGAATAGGTAATACAGCAGAGGTTTTAGTTGATTTATACAGACAAAAAATGGTATCTGATAATGCAATGTTTTTTCTAACTGGAAGTATTTCATACAGTAATAATACAGATTATTTTGAAAGGGTTTTTTTTCTTAAAATGTTACGTAAGGGAAGTCATCCTTTTTATCCTTGGATGTTTTGGTAAAATAACTTTAAATGAAATACTTGATGTATTCATAGTGAAAGGTAATCAAACTATTTTATCACATACATTGAGTTGCTCTGTTGGGATCAGGGTACTTCTGAAACTTGTTAACTTGACACCAAAAAATACTCTAAGTCAGAAATTAGGAAAGGGAATTTAAGATACACTTACAGAGTTCATAAGTGTATAAGCACATCTATGCATAACAAAGAACTCAGAAGTTAGGAAATACCAGTTGTCAGTACACTTGTTTGTCTTTGCTTTATAAATCTGTCTGATTTTTCCCCTCTGCTTACCCTTCATAGCTGTCCTTGCTCTTCTTGGCTTTGCTGCTTTTCCAAAATATTTCTAAGGAAAGTGTATCAGCATACATTTTACTGATGGGTATAAATTACAACTTGATTTAAACTCCATACACGTTGGAAATGTACTGCACAATTGCATAACATGTTACTCTTCTGCCTTTGTACTTGCAGCACTCTACTTTTATATTTTCATGGTCAAGTTCAATTAAGTCCTTGTATTTGCTTTTCTATATTAGTAGTAGTTGGAAAAGACAGGTCCTAACAGTGATCTCTGGTGCACCATCAGATTTCAGCTGGCTTACGCTCCTGCTTAGTCACTCATACAGCATTTGAGGAGTATTTTCTCTTTAGCTTAAATGCTGTATCACATTTAACGCCTCTCTCTCTTCTTTTCTTTAGTACTGCTTTTTTCGTGTGTCTCCCAAAGTTACTACTCCTATTGTGCTATGGCCACTGTGTGCCCTTTCCTGTAACAAGTGTTTATGTGCAGCTGAAACATGTTTACGGTGATTGGTTGGCTTAGGTGCTTGTGGCTCTTTCTCCTACCGAGTAATTAGGTGCTGTTCCTTCATGTTACAGAGTGGTCAAGTACTTTGAGTACTGCTACTTGGCCTCACTGTGGACTGTGAAAATGTATTTCTCCGCCATGGACACAAAGCAGACAGCTCCACTGTCAACTGAGAGGTGTGTGTCTGTGTCAGCACTTGAAGTGTAAACTTGTTACTTACATTGAAAACTGTTTTGCCAGAGCTGGAGGGGGGAAGGGGGGGAGGAGGAAAAGCCTAATCATCTATTCAGGATCCATGTATCATTCAGATACAGCTGTCCTGCGATGTTCTCATTTTCATGGTGTTTGCCATTTCTTTTCAAAGCTCTCCAGTACTTGGAGGGCTTGCAGCTAAACAATACTTCTGGCATTCTCTCAGCATCTGTGCTAGAGAATTAAACGTTGCAGGGCAAGGGAAGGAGCACAAAAATTGTGAGGACTGTACAAGTATTTCTGACTTTCAGAGCCTAAACAAATATGGTATGAGCTTATCAGTCAGTCCTGCATTCGTTCCCTATCTGCCTGTACTCTTTGGTTGGCTGCAAAATTTAAAAAGTGATTTGGGGAAAGGGCCCTTAATGTTCCCTAACATGCCCTCTGTGGGGAAAAGAAAAGATGTGCGTGCACAGTTAGAGGAACTCTACCTGGCAAGACACCTTGTTTTAGAGTATCCCAGTTTCTTTATCTGTCGAGATCAATGAAGATTTTTCGTTGCAGACGTAATGCTAGTAGCTGGCACTACAGCTGCTATTCCATGAAACAGGTTGTCTTTTGAGTGTGGTACTCATGAAACACTGCTGCTTCCCAGTCGCATCTGCTTGGAGTGCTCTATTAACCATGGCTTACCCCACCCTGCTAATGCTGATAATAGCTTATTTCCTCAATAGGGTAAGTGTAATGCTTTGTGGTAGTGACTCTCAGCTGCGGTACTATAATCATTACAGACACAAGAGAGGCTCTCAAGTGCCTCAAAGTTTACTGTCTTTTTGCAAGACCATAAAGAGGGAGAGAGAAAGGAGGGGAAAGAGGTTGCTTCCAATTTGGCATTGCAGCTGAACTGAAAATGTTGTTTTGCTTGATTTAGAAGGTGCAGAGGGACTTAATGTAGCTATAACCCTTCACTGTTTGTGGAGAAGTCTTCCTTTCCTTTGGAAAAGACTCAGTTAGGTACTGCTGCCTCACCAGAGAGTTTTCTGAGAGTTAACCTTATTAGCAGAAGCAGTTCAGATGCCCTTGATGACAGGCAGTGGTACGTGGGTGGCGGTGGTGACTGATGGAGCTGACTTGATGCTGCTGGGGGTGGAAATCACCTGCTCAGTTGGCTTCCCCTGCGGTAGATCTCTAAGGAAAGACAGAGGTGTCCGTAGTCTGCTAGTAACTGTTTTACTGGGGAAAACAAACGGCTCTATCGTTGAATGGCAGTTTCTTCCATGGGCTAATCTAATAGTATTATCTAAGTCTCTTTCTGTTGGATTAGTATAATTTTTTAAAAAAAAGCAGTCAAACAAATAGTAAAAGCAGTTGGATCTTAATATATCGCATTTTCAGAGCTGAGTAGTGAATACCAAATTTTTAAAATAGGAAAAAAAGTGCCTAAGTGTCAGAAACATACCAAGACATCTTATTACTCTGATGTCAACATAATGCCTTTTCCTTATTCCTATCCCCTGCTCCCATTAAACTTTGTCTTTTGAATGCAATCCTCAGAAGATGGCATGGAGAATTCCCCCATGCTTGCCCTATTGTGGCAATAAATACTAGAAAATTGGTCTCTGGGGGTTACTTGAGCATCTCTGTGTCTGGCTTGGACCTCTTTCAGAGGGTTCTTGGAGTTTCACTCCTCGCAGAAGGAGCTAGCTGGGAAGAGCTGGTGCAGAAGGCTAGGAGTGGGGAGGAATACAGGGTGTCTGCCACCCCTAATCACTGTGATCATCCTTCTGAAAAAAATAAAATTACTTTTTTGTTTTTTCTCTTTGATTCTAAAAGTCCGTCTCTGTAGTTAAAACTGTCGATAATTCATGCTAATGAGTAGTTGTTTTGTGATCCCGCTGAGCCAGGAATGATAAAGGGTGGAGTATAGGTGCTTTATTGGTGATTCCATCACCTCTCTGCATAACTTTTGCATATATACATATATATGTGTATTGTAAAGGGCAGTGTGTGTCGTCTTATGATGTAAAAAAGATGAGAAATGTAATGATTAGGTAATGGGATAAGTACTTGTTCTGAAGCGAGTCTGAAAAATCACTGGATATGGAGATATCATGCCAAGTGTCCCAAAAAGAGTGAATTTAGGGTAGTAATTAACTGCTGGTTGAGTAAGAATTACAAGATCACAAAACAAATTACTGTTATTAGCAGAAGTATTTGTTCTCATGTCAAACTGTCATCCTGCTTCGCTGTTTAACCTGATTCTGTCACGTGGGGAAAAAAATTATGTCAGATACTTTATTAAGTGTGAATTTGTGACTTACTTCTGTGGGTTTTTTCAGTGTAACTGTCTCCTAAAATGGCAATCATTTTTTGACCCCACCCACTTTAAATCAAAGCTGCAAAAGCAAGGGAACTTAGAAAACTGAAGGGCTTTTCTGGCTTTGAAGACACTGTATGAATGAATGCTGGATCTGATACTGTAGGATCTGTGGGAGGAGAATATTACTGGATACAAATGTGTTAGCCTGTACAGAGCTGACTTGTCGCTGCAGTTCTATGGGTTAAAGCCCAGTAAATACCCTTTGATTTACACCTCTCCTCTGCTTTTAAAATAGGAGTTTAGAGAGAGTTGTAAAATGGTGTGGCTTAGCGATCCCAGGCATGAAATAGCCCCTTTGATTGCAGCTTAAGTGTGATCTGCATGCACAGCATTTAATAACAAACAACTAATTATGGGGTTATGTACTGAATACCACAACAGCAACAATAAGAAGGTTATTTATATATAACTGGCACTTACTCTAGATACCTGTTAGTTGATAACTTTCTTGCAGTCTTGAACAATGTCAAAGATTTCTGGAGCCTGACATCCTAGTAAACCATGGATGGGACCAATCTAGAAATAGAAAGTCATGTGGTTTTAAACAACGTATTGGTCTTCTGATAACACTTTTATATTGAATCGTGATAGGTCAGGACATCCTTCAAACAGATGGTTGTAGCTGGAGAAAAAAGTAAAAGACTGAAAAAATAAAGCTACAAAGCTCAGAAGAGGAAGAGAAAGGAGATCTACTTGTCTTACCTGGTCCCCTTTGTTTCAGTAGGTCAGCTTCATGCTGTAACGTCATACATAGCTGACCCATTGCCAAAATAAGATTAAAAAGCCTTAGCCTTAAAGGCATTGGAAGCATGAAGTGGCTTTGGGGAATGGTATAATTCAAATATGAATAATACTGTGGAAAAATCATCTTTCTTTAGCTTATGGGTCCACAGCCAGTACATATTTAAAAACATTTGCAGAATGTTTTTATTTAGAAAGAAGCCTAAAATGCATTACTCTCTTCAGTGAAGAAGTGCTAAAGGAAAAAGAGATCTGCAGCAGGGAAGGCCAATTGAGCAGGTGACTTCCACCCCCAGCAGCGTCTCAGCATCAGTCAGCTCTATCAGTCATCACTGGGTGACTTTTTTTTCCCAAAGCCAATGATACATGCTTTGTCAGTGAAACATAGATAACTTTTAATCCCAGTCAACTTTTATAATTAAATCTTCTTGGATATCAAAATGTATTGTATGACCATGTACTTCAGAGTTACTTTTCAGACCCAGCCTCTCCAGAGCTGATGTTAGCAGTAATTTTGTTTTTTAGTCTTTTGGGTTTTGTTGTTGTTGGGTTTGTCTGGTTTGCATTGTGGGGTTTTTTTTTGTTTGTTTTTGGGTTGTTGGTTTTTTTTAATGAAGCAGTAGCTTTTGCCAAACTTATGAGGTGAGCCTCGATAAGAAAGTGTTTAGCCACGTAGTGTTCAAGCCTATGGATGAATCATAAGCAGAAATATTTTTCTTTCTCTATCAGGCAGTTTAGGCTTCTAACCTGAAAGCCAGCCAGGTGGCCAAAAGGCAAGCAATGGCTTTTTACTTCCTTCTGGTCCATGAGCTTGAGTAGCCGTTCAGAGTTATGGTGATGCCTACGTCTGTCTACTGCCTGACTTTGCAGTTCCTCTGGAACTGTGAACTTTCTGAAAAGCTGATTGCTTTTTAAATAAAGCTGAATATCTCTGTGGAGATGTGCATGTTTTGGGGGAGAAAGTGAGAGAATGGCTGCTTCCCTCCCCACCCCCTAAGTAAGGGCCAGAAGACTCTGTTTGTACTTCTCTGCAGCAGCGTGAATACCTAAGTGCATGCTCCACTCTGGCTTGCTGTCCCACAGTGCGAAATTGCTCAGACCTTGGAGATCAAACCCAGAGCCGCTGTTGCAGGAAGAGTTGTTGTGGAGTTGAACTGAAGCAAGCAGGGAGGGTTGATGTACCTTAGGGTACCTTGTCTAGCCCTCTGCTGCCAGTTTAGGATGACACAGATCTTCCAGAGGTCCTGTGCCTTATCTGCCAGACCCATATGAATGTCTTAGGTGTCCAAGAGCATCTCAGATAGCACTAGCTGACCAAGTCTAGGCAAGTGAAGCAGGTATTCCAGCCTACGTGTAATGGGGAAGAGGATATACTGCAGTCCAAAGCACGGCTCTGTCCATTGTGGTTTGAAATAACAACATGCTGGGCCCTGTCCGGTGAACCTGGCCTTGACAACTTTTTCCAGAATTTGGGAGGGGGGCGGGTGTCGAATTTAAGGCAATGATTTTTTTCATGCAACATAAAGTCATCTCACAATTCATAAACTGATTTCATGAAATAATGAAGAATGAAACTTGAATGGTGATTGTAACATTGGCATAAAACCAAACCTCTAAACTTTTTAAAAGACTGTTGACTACTTCTCTCAGAGTTTACTTCTCTCACTGCCTGTGGCTGTGTTCAAAGGCTTCCCAGCTGGTGGTGGCTACTCTAGAGTCCCTTTCTGGGAGTTCATAGGAGACGCTCCATCTCTGCCCTGCCTTCTGCACACTGCCCAACTGCGTGTCCCAGTTCAAGACAATTAGTCACTCAAGGTTCTGTATGGGGTCAGCATAGTAATGGTGGCAGTGGTGACCCAGCAGCATAAATTATTCTCAGCTGATCAGCCTTCTAAATTCAAAAATCATGAGTGTGGTTTTCCTTACAGCATTTTATTATCTTTGCTTATTGCATAACACTGTTGCTGATTAGTTATCATCTTCTACTTTCTATCTGTCATGCATTCCTTAATTGCTTAATTACTTTGTCAGTGTATTTGGCACATGTTCATTCTCCAATAGTAAAGCAGTATTGTGCATTGAGTTCATGAGTGAGATGAGTAGCTTTGAGTGATTCCCACTTGGCACTTTGTCATTATGTGATGCCCTTTTTGTGGGTGATGCATCTTCCTAGAGATCAGCTGTAATTAATTAACCACTAATACAGGTTAGCTCCTCTTCCAGGTACTGGGTGGAATTATACATACCTACATGTGTAGGTATGTATAATTATACATACTACCATGTGAGCATGGTGTTGTTGGGTTGATGGTTGGACTCGATGATCTTGGAGGTCTCTTCCAACCTTAATGATTCTATGATTCTATGTTATATCGCTGTGTAGATAGTCAAGCCTACTAGGCTGAGCTTTGATTTAACTGCTGTTCTAAGTCTACTTCAGGGGACACCAATTCTTCAGTTAACAGGGTAGGCTAACTTCAGAAAATTTTCTTATTGGCATCATTCTGTAATTCTACGAATTCTTTATACAGTGAAATAAACCAAGAACAGAATTGCTAGAGCATCCTCAGCAAGAGATTAAGAAAACTTAAAAGGAAAACTCAGCAGTAGTAGAAATCCTGTTCTTGCTTTAACTCAGCATTAGATTCCTGGAGATTTCTGATCTGAATCAGTGTGTACATCTAGCAGCAACAGGCTTATATGTCAATGATAAGGTGCTGGAGTCAGCAGCTTCCTGGAGTTTCTTCTGGTTTGTAACACAATCACAGGTTTTTGTTCTGCAGTGCCGTGGTACTTTTCTCACCTTCAAACTCTTCCTACTTAACAAGATGATACAATAACTGTAATTCTTGACATTACTGTATTTAGTCAGTGCTTTTAAAACTAAAAACCAAAGCAGTGTCCTGAGACCCAGTATTGTTTTAAAACCTTTTAAAAAAACAAACTTGAGGATAGAATAAAGTGAATATTGACAGATCATATAGATTGGAAGAAACTAAGGACTCTCTCTCTCACAGAACAACAAAAAAAAATCCTCAACATGCATATGGAAGGAAAAATCCAGAAACCATTACTTTTCCCCAGTAATCCCTGATGCACTTACGTGTCGAAAATCCAATGGTCTACACAGGTTTTATCTTTTACTTAGGAATACGCTGAAATGTGTATGTGTGTACCTTTGTGTGATGTAAAAGTGGTATCTTACCTTTTCTGCCTTCTCTAGGGTTTTTTTCAGGTTTTATTCTGGATTGCATAAAAGGCAGTAATGTACTTCAGTCAAGTTGGTAATTCAGAGGTACAGCTGTTTTCCCCCACTGTAGTAAGTAGAGGCTACTCTTTAAACTTCCTTGAACCAAACACTCACCTTCATTTTTTCCCTCTTTTTTTTTTTTTGTTTTTTTTTTTGTTTTAGTGGGCAGTTTGCTGTAGTGAAAAAATGCCGTGAGAAAAGCACTGGTGAGCAGTTTGCAGCAAAATTCATCAAGAAACGGAGAACAAAATCCAGCCGCCGCGGAGTGAGCCGGGAAGATATCGAGCGAGAAGTCGGCATACTAAAAGAGATTCGACATCCTAATGTGATTACGCTGCATGATGTTTATGAGAACAAAACAGATGTCATTCTTATTCTGGAACTGTAAGTAGCTTTAGAGGCCTGGGAAGGAGTAACAGAATGTTTGTTTGTTTGTTTGTTTGTTTTAAAAAAATAGACACTTTCACCTAGAATCACAGTGATTTAATGGATGTTCCTTGCCACACCAAAAGAAGATAGATAATAGCCTGCGAATTCTTTATTTTTAAGTCAAAGTTGTAGCTTCTTGATTTCTACACATATTTTTCACTGTAAACACACTACAAGGGTTAAAAAAAAAAATCCAGCATATTTAGGAATTTTTTCTGCTTGTTACTTTAATTGTTGTTGATTTTATGGATCCAGAAGAAAAGCCTGGAGCTAAATAAACTGATTTGAAGATAAGAGCAGAGGGAAATAGAGATTCTAAGTGGAGGTAAATTTAGCAAATTTTACTGTGTCTTATGCTGGTGTAAAGTAAAGTACCATCACTGAATGCTTTTTCTCTTTTTTTAACCCACATAATAGCAAACAGCATTTTCCCAGTTCTGTCCTGTTGAAATGTAAACTGAACTTTCATATCCTTGTTTTAGTTCCCATTTTTCATCCAAGGTTATTGCAAATGGATTGAAGTAAATACGTCGGCAGAGAATACTTCTGCATTGTTTCAAGTCTGACTTCACGTTCCTCAAAGATTGCAAGTTTAGAAGTTAAGCATTACTCACCCATTACAGTTTGGCAGTGTCTCCTGGTGGGACGTGCATGTCTTTACATAGTTTGCATGCCTGCCACTGTATTATTGCCATACTTTTGCTCTGTATCAGTTAAATGTGCTTTAGAGTAAGTATTTCGTGCAAGCAAATTATTTGGTACCAGAATCTTGGGCAGCACTTGCGTCTTTTCCTTGGCTGTTCGTGTGATTTTTTTCTTATGTAGGTTATGTCTTCCTGTTTACCAGCTTTCGTAAATGATATTTCCACTTACCTTAGGATACTTTAGTGTTGCATGCTTTCAGTAACGTATGTGTAGATTCACAGTATAGATTTAAAAAGAAAACTGGGAAGTAGCTTTTGGAGTTTCAGCTTTTCTGTGGTATATACATGTGCAGTACTGCCTTGTTATGTCAGAACATAGTTTTACACTTCTAGTCCAGCATGTCATGGTTTACTGTAATACTTGTAGTCTGGGTTGGTTTTTTAGTTCCAGAAGTATACACTTGCATTAGTTTGTCAACTTTGGATAATTTAAGCAAGTATTTTCTTTTTAAAAGCTAAGTTATCATCTGGTGTGAAGTAAAACTTCCTTATATTCCTGTCAGAATATCTACTACTCCTCGGTTTTGTTCAGAACTCTTTAAATGTGCCGAGAATACACAGCAAAATTAGTGATGCTTCTTCCTCTCCCTGCTTGATACTAGCTCTCACATTCTTCCTGTCTATAACCTTACTTGTCAGTGTACCGCTGCTTCTGCTGTGCTTTCTTTCTGCTCTGTAATCTGTCCAGATGAAATCAAGCCAGTGTCTGGACTTGAAAGCTCTGAGGAAGACTCGGTAATCACAGATAGTGGTAGGAGGAATGGGGCCGTTCTGCAGCGCACACACACCCCCCCCTCCCTTCCTACATGAGATAGGAGCTCTTTTGGCAGCAAGATTGCTGTGTGTGTCTGTGTGTACCCACTGACGTTCACTGTCAGAAGCAGTATCTCCTTCCATTCAATGTGTGTTAGTATTTCGTAAGTTTGATAGTGTGAAGCTCAGCAAACTATTTGCACTGTGATTTAGCTAATTGTTTTGCCTAGTTAACAATCCCCATATAGTTTCAGTTGGAGACTTTTTTTTTTCACTTTTCCAAACTGCTATGTGAGTCTTTCAAGTTGAAGAAGTGCTATTTGGGATATCACAGAAGTAATGCATTTTAGTTAGAGGGTCGAAGAGGAAAAGATGACACGTTAGCGATCCCTTTGTAAACTGAATATACTAATTGCTGTAAACTTTTGTAATTCTCAAAATCACTATGACACTATGTAAAGCTATTGAAAAGGCAAAGGATTGTCATTTTAATCGCATGCTTAGACACTTAAATATGTAATCCCTTTCTTTTAATGTTCTAATATTCGCATTTTGCCTAGGGACCTACTCCCCCAACATTCTTTGTTCTTACAGAACAATTTCAAACAAACAGAAATAAAGCCAAAAGCTCATTAAATAACCTGTTCCGCTGTCCTCAGAATCCATCCTAAGTGACCATTTTCCTGTTTGACTAGAACGTGGCATTTTTCTTGGGACTTGTGTTCCTTTATGACTACAACATGAGACAGCATACCACATACAGACAGGATTTTGTGTAACTTAATTTTTCTAGAATTTAGAAAGAAACTAAAAATCAACATTCCAGCACTGTATGAGAAATTCATAGCAAAAAAAAAAAAAAAAAAGAAACACCAATTTCGTATTAGTAAGCAAATGTAATAACACGAGCAATGATGAGGAGAAGTATCTCTGGTTTCTGTTCTTGGTAGAAGCTGCAGCCCACAGATGTCAAGCCACTGCAGCTGCCCTTTTGGTGGCTGCCAGTAGATGTTAACATGCAGTCTCAGGGCAACAGCGTCTATTGCCTGTTCACTGTTGATTTTTATCTCCTGGCTCAGCAAGAGGTTTGCAGTATTGCGTGCAGCCTCCTAAACATTTTTCTGCGTTATCAATCAGCTGTTTCTCAGAGGTGAGCGACTGACTATAGAAATTTTCACTTCATTCCCTCACAGCAAGTATTATGTCAGCTGGCACAGTATTCAAGGTGGCGATTTGTATGCAGAAATATGTGGGCAGTTCATTAATTATTGCAGTGGCAAGGTCCTCACAACACTGAATGCAAAACAGAGCTGCATATCAAAAACTTTATCCACATAGGTGTTTGGAGGTTTTTCTCTCAACTACCTTATGTCAGGAAACTGACTTACAAAAAAAAAAAAATCACAAAACATTTAATTTCTGAAACTTTTAAAATCAAATCCTTCCTTAAAAGATTCAGTAGTCACACACAAGCATGAGATATGCTTGAAGAGCCTTACTTTATTACAGTCTTTTGGTATATTTAGATAAACTGGGCATATTTTCATATTTCTAGGTCTTACTCAGTGGCAAGTGTCTGCTTGATTTGGAAATAACCTTTGAAATGCCCACTCTGTGGACTCTTTCATCATCTTGCAAGGAATGCTGTGTGTATTACATATGAACTGGAAGACACTGTCTCTTCCTCATCTAACTTAAAACTGTAATAGTGTTTTTTTCCTCCTATCACACAGATAATTGAATTAGTCAGAATTTTATAGTCCTTTTTTCTATCCAGCTGCAGCAGCTAGTCTCTGTTGTATGTTAGCAATACTAAGCTATTTCCAGTGAGCTCTGTTGAAGCCATCATTTTATCAGACTTCACAGACTAGAAAACACAGATGCCTCTGTTGCACGGTGGTGACTATTTTCTTTCCTCAAGCACATTCTGCACCTACTCGGTTCCCCTTTTGCTGGCCTGCTGGTAACCTTGAATGCATAATCTCTGTCTCTTCTATTTTGTTTTTCCTTCCATTTTATTATGTCTTCATTTAGCTTGCAGACCTACAAAACATATGCAGTGTGTGGTGCTTTGTGGAGTCTTGGTTATGGTTTCTGGGTGCAACTGCAAAGAATAAATACCCTGATCCTAAATTATATACTAGTTCCTTAGAATGCTCAAAAGTAATGCAAATGGTCTCGCCTTTTAAAATAGCTAGATAGCAATAGCTGACTCTTTTCACTGGGAAGCTCTGGATGGAGTTAGGTATTCATACTTTTCTCTGCAAAAAAACATACCTTCATTTCTGAATTAGAAATCTTAATTTAAGACTGTTAGCTCTTGTAGCATAGTTCTGAGTGATGAATATCTGTTTTTAAAATTCAAAAAAGGAGAAGAAAGCTTTGAAAGTCTTAGCTCAAAAAGAGAGGAATGACATTAACTTACAAGTGATTGTGCATTAAATACCAGGTTTTATGCTTTTTTAAAAAGTTAGTTCCTGTATACTTTCCTTAAAATTTAGTCCTGTGCATCCCAGTGTCTCAGAAAGAGTTCCCACCTTATTGGTACCTTCATAATATTAACCAAAACAGAACAGAGCAAGGAGAGGATGATAGATCCATGTATAAAAATTCTGATTATGTCATGAGTTGCTCATTGAAGAGTAAATAACAAATAACAATGAACTATAAATTCCTCTTCTATCTTATTGGGGAGTTAATTTAACTTGTTACATTTATAATAGCTTGGCTTCCAGAGATGCTTGAAGTCTGCACAGAATTTCTTTACTACTTAGTTGTCTTTTGATAGAAATAGCTCAGAGGTTTTTGTTAATTTTACCTATAAGTCATAAGAAAGTTGTTCTCGAGTGGCCTTTTACTGAATTTTGAGAGGAGGATTGAATCTTTGGTGCTTACTGGGATGCAACAGCAGGTAAGCAAGCTCTGCACCGCTAATTTGATGTTGTGTCACCTTTTGACTTTAAAATCTTGAATTGTAGGCCCACAGATAGGTGCACAGAGGATGTGTAGACAGGTAAGAATGAAGGCTTGACAGGGCTGAAAAGAAAGGAGCTAGAGCCAGTGTGACTCTGCAACGCACCGAGCACATCTCTGAGGGAGAGCATTTGGCTTCTGGGCTCTGCAGTCCCTGAGCAAAATGCATAGCACTCTTGTATGCTAAACCTGAATGCTCTTCATACATTAAATTTGAATGTGTGAGGCAGGATCAAAATACTAAGGCGCTCCCCTGGGCCAAAGTGTCGGTAACTGTGTGTGTTATCCAGACTCTGGGCACTTGGGGAGCTTCAGTGATGAAAACCTAAATACCAGCCATGTTTGGGTGCAGGAAAGATTCACAGGATTGTTCAGGTCTCCCTCTTAGTGGGACTTAACTGCTTAAATCTGAGTCCAGGTTTTGGTGCTTATGTTCTTCTGGCTGGCCATTCTAAGGCCGATGCTTCTTGTTCAATATAATTGAAGAATTTAGGCACACTAAAGAGAGGATTTCATGACAGTTGG